GAAGTAGTGCACAACTCTCTTGTACCTGTCACAGATATACAGGGACAACTGATTGTAGCAGTAAATGCAATAAAATAAAGATTCATCACTTCCTTAGACCTAACAATCCCGTGACAATCTGACTTGATTTCAAAACATACAGATTTTCCCCCTTTTTATCCTCTGGACAACAATTACTGTTTACTGAGTTGCTTCCCAGAAACACTGCAGTCAAATATTAAAAGTACTGTAAGCAGAGAAAGGTCATCATGAACGTTATGTTCAGTAGAGCATGGAAAAACTTGATTAGTCTGAGTAAAATGAAATATGTGTGTTTCTAAAAACCATGCCTTCCCATTATTTGGTTTAATTAAAGGGAATTTTAGTCTAAATCCAAACTGTCAATGAAAGCTTGTCCATAAGCTAGCAAAAAATCTGTGATTTATTTATATGTGCAAAATCCTAATTATTTCACACGGCATTGTTCAAAGGATCTTTCTGTGAGACCAGTCTCATTTTAATCTTAACAGCATAAGAAACTATTTACAGTTCTTCCTGCTCTAGAAGAGGATTTAAAAACCTTGTGTTCCAACCAGCCACACTGTAATTTCCAACATTTAATTAGAAAATAGATGAGATCACTTTATTTAAACTGGTACTTGAAGTAAGCAATTAAGTGCTTCACTTAATAGGAGTGTGTGCTGTAAATCTGGCCTTTCATTACATGTACAGTCCCTCACACAATAGGTTTCTAGTACCAGACAGAAGCTTGCAGGCATTGCTTAAATAAAAATATGCTATTTAGGAATATTGTGATGTATTTCCACTGCCTCTGGGGGACTTATCCTGATACAGCCTATTATGTGTCCTTATTACATAGAAGTAAGTATGCAATTAATTGGCAATCTGTAGTGGATTATGGAAACATTCCAGATGGATGGGGGTTTATCACAGTATTTTGCAGCAGCAGCTACTGTAATTTCCTCAGTTTGGGACAGTGAATTTACAAGAATTTGTTTCTTTGTCAGGAAGGTCTTCTGAGCAAGAATTTCCATTTCCTTTTACATCAGAAGCAAGATGCAGCACAAAGCACCTGTGAGATAACACAGGGTTGCTTCAGCAGACTGTCTTTGTGCTCAGACACAATGGGATGTGTGGGCTGCACCTCCCTTAAGAAATGAAAATGCAATCAATTGACTTGGTTAATATTTTGCTCTGTGGGAAAAACTCCATTAGACAGTCTGGAGCTCCATTAATCTGTGGCATTGCGTGAGCTGGGGCAGCCTAAGCAAGAGAAAGCCCTTCATGATTTGCCAACCCTCCTCAGCAGTTTGGGCTGAGGGGTGGTTCTTCACCTTTCCAGGCTTGCCTTCCACTGCCACTGGGGTTGGATAGTGCTGAAAAAACTGGGATGGCCCATCTGGAGCTGTCACAGGTGGCTCTGATGTCACTGGAGCCATGGGGAGGGAAAGCTCACCTGGAAGCTGAATCCAGACAACATCCAGGAGACCAACAGACCATCACAGACCAGGGTGGGGGTTTGAAACACACCACTCTCTGTTCTTTAAGATATTCAAATAAGATGCTATTGTGCACAAACCTCATCTGTGTAGTCTTTTGCTTTAGGAAGACAGAAAATGTACAGAGAGCTCCTTCTGCCCTCGATTTTTACAGCCATTTGGAAACCACAGCATGAGCTCCTGTTGTGGTGCAGTGTCTGTGCAGCAAACAGAGAGAGAGAGACCACAGGAATAACCCTCCTGTTGTGTGACCCTTTGGGGCAAATCCATACATTTCCCTTTCTACAGTGGCAATAAGTCTCATTGTCCATTAGGCTGCCCAGGTTGTGTAGATAAAAAGTCCCCTTCACACAGCAGTCGTGTTATGCTCTTATTCCATGGTCTCAAGATTTCTGTTTTCTCCCCTCAGTGTGAATACACAATAAAGCTACTAAAATACGTGGATGAGAGTTATATTCTTGTTTGTCTGGGTATCCAGTTCCCTAAGAGTGAACAGCTTACAGCTTTTTCTATGCACTCAGCAAGTATCAGAATTCTTGTAAAGGTCTCTAAATGCATATTTTAATAGACCACAGTTCAGCCAAGTAACCCAATCCTCATGTGAACTTCATGCCCTGCTGTAGGAATTTTCACTTTAATGTAACTTAAGATATGCATCTGACTGCAAAATAAAGTATTTTCTTATTCTTTCAGCTATACCTAAGCCTTCTGATTCCCCCTCCTCTTTGGCTTTTTCAGACTGTTAATTGCCCCCTTTACATTTCCATCAACAGACCACCCCCCCATCCAGTGAATCTCCAGATTGCTTTTGCCATGTGTTAGGATTAATAATTAATGAAGCCAGCTGATTGTTCCAATGACCCATTATTATGTCAGGGCAGAGATGAACTAGAGAGAAGACAGGATTCATTTCTGAACCTCCAATTTCAGCATCAAAGCTCAAAACCAAAACACCATCAGCAACAGAAATGTATTTTTCTCAAGGGATCTGTTTTGTTCTGTTGGGTGGCCAGAACAGCCCCCCAACCTGGAAAGCAGATATTACCATACTCAGGGCTTTTTAAACATAAACTATTGTGTTCTTCTCCAGTATGTGGCATTTCTGTGGCATTTCTCAGGGCTTTTCTGACATTTAAGTCTCATCCGGGCATTTAATGATAATCGAGCAGAGAAAAAGAATGGGAAAGGGAAACACACATTAGCATGAAAGATTAAGGGAAATGAATATGTATAAGACACAAAAAAAGACTAAAATGGTGGTATACAATGGGATGCCACAGAGCAGAGTGGGAGGGCTTCTGTTCATTAAGTGTTGATATAGTGGATTTAAATAAAATTGAATAAAATCCAATTTAAACACTAGAATAAAAAGACTTGAATGATCAGCCCTGGAACAGAATGGATTTCTGTCCCTCAGAGGTCAGATCAATGCCTGGCCAACAGCAGCTGCAGATGGTCTGACAGCAGAAGCCTGAAAAAACAAAAACTTACAGGGCTAGATCAAGTCTGCTGGTTCTTTTTAACCCCTCTCTTTGCTGTTCCTCTAACATAAGATTTATCTCTAGCACAAAAAAAGTACCTAGCACAGGTGTCTTAACAGAGTTGGTGTCTTATTAATTTTCATCATGTCTCACATTACGTTAGCCTCGATGTGCATAATCCTAAGACAGTACTATTCAATTTTACAAGAATAATTGATACTTCAGCAAGCAGACAGTAAATTCTCCTGCTGAGAAAAAGCAAACAAACAAATAAATGACAGCTCGTAAATTTATTCGAAGTCATGGGCAAAGCTCTACTGGAGATAGCACTACACAGCTTATTATCAGCCTGCTGTTAATGTAGGGCTCCCTGCTTTGAGATTATTTAAGGATGACTAACTCATGTTACATTTATTTCCTCTAGACTTGCTCTGGGCTACATGAAAAGCAGGAATCAATTAACTATTTGGAGGAACTTTCAGGCAGTACTACAAACAACATTTAGGATTTCAACACAATACTCTTGTATTGTCCTCTCATGAAATGAGGACAAACCCAAACAAGTAAGAATTGTATTTATTTTTTTTCATTGTCCTGGATTATAAATCCACTGAAGTGTTTTAAGTGTGAGAACATTTTAGAGAAGGAAACATTGATATCTGAGAAGTTCACAGTACACGATGCAATTGCATGGGTTTCACTGTTTTCAGTTGTGTCTTCCTGCTTCACCACTCTTATAATTAACCTTTACAGAATGCAAGAGATTTTTTTAAGACTCATCCTACTGCCACAGGATCAGTACTTTTTCCAGCAAATGACTCACTTTTTAATCCCCTCCATGCCATGGCAGGGCAGAGAAGACAAGGGTGCTCATATTGTCTCTAGTTGGCTGCACAGCTGAAATTGTGCTGCTGTGACATCATTGTCCCCAAGGGACTGGCTCTTAGGGCAGGATGGTTTAGTCATGACAGAAGGGAAAACCTGTGGTTATTTAAGGCAATCACTGAATCACTTTTGTGTTGTGCCTGATATTGATTCACTCTGAACTGCGCTTGGCTTTCAGTGATAATCTCATCCTGCCATGAGATGTGTCAGGGGCTGCACAGGTGGGGACTGTGCTTTGTTTGGGAGTCACAGGCCAGCCTCTAATGTAAATTACTGACAGATTACAACAGTGTGGATAAAACATGCCTAAATGAGGTAATCTTGCCTTCTGTCTTAATGCAGAATACCTGACCTACACCTGAATCTTCTGCTCCAAAAGATGGGCTGGGAGCTCCAGCATTCAGATTAAACACTGGGAGCAATCCTGTACTAGTTTAAGGAACAGCTTTATCATGCTGCTCCCAGCTCAAATGCAAATGAGGTTATAATGCCATGATGCAATCATACCTTAGACACTGTGGTTCCATAATATCTTTCACTCACAGAAAGTAAGAAAAACTCTATGACAAGCCAAGGAGAGATATTTCATCTGCAACCTCAGTGGATGGCACATTTGAAGGTACTTATTACCCAGAAGGATGTAGGTAAGTTGTGTTTCTTCTCTGCAGGAAAAAGGAACAAAGACCCTCTCCAGGGATTTTCTGAGGAGTTTGCAAAAACCACCTTTCTATCATTTTAGAACAGCAATTGCTAAACCACTTCAGCCATGGAGTACCAGCAGCTGTCTGTCTTCATTTTTCCTGGAAATGTTAGAAGTGAAAAAACCCACTAGAAAGATCCTTGCAAAGCAGTAATGGATTATTTATGGTGCCTTTAGTACCCAGAGTCTCAAATGCACTGTTCCACACTGAAAGAATATGGTTTATCTGTGAATGATCTATGAAAGAGACAGTCCTGGCAGTCCAGTACTGTAGATGGGATGTACTGAGGGAAAAAATAGAGACAGTGAGAGTGTATTTCAAATAATAAAGTGCATTCAGTACTAATTAATCTACAGAGTTACAGTATGAAAAGACTGGCAAGATCCTCTGATTATTTTGTCATGTGCCAACACAGTGCTATTCAGAGCTACCAGATCAGTTTGTTAAATACCTGACAGGGGGGTACATAACTAAAATTTCCTGGGATTATATGTGCATTTGACTTTCAGTGTACAAAAAATCTGACTCAAGCCTGTGCTAGGTTTGTGGTGCCATTCTTCTCATGTATTTCTCACCTGTGTTTAAAAAAGCTGGCTGAAGTTTCTGGTTTCAGGTCTGCTCATTTTCCTCCAAGGCAACCATTTTGCTTGCCCATTGCACTGCTACTGGAAGGGGACAGAAACTCTTCCCACCCAAGATGAAGTAAGGGGAAGAAATAGCCTCCAAAATCAAGCCTGTTGTCATGGAAACCAGAACCAGGATTTTCGAGGCCAAAATGGATGCATTTATAAATCAGAGATGAGGGAAATCCTACCCATTTATAAGAATACATTAAATGGAAAATGTCTTTATTATAGGAAGTCAGATATATAGTAGCTCAACAAATGCTGCAGTGTAAAGCAGTATGTGAGTGATTTTTTTTCTATAATACAGTATGATCTCATCAGAACCAATGGTTGGTGTGTTGGAGAGAAAAGCAGCAGTAGCCATAGAAACAGCCAGCTCTTCCCAAGTGGAATAAGGTATCGTGTAACACCCAGTTTTGGTGGTGGCCTCGTGCTCCTGCCAGATTTGTGGCTGCTTTTGAGTGCAAAGTGCTTTTTGATGCACCTCAAGCCACAGGAATCAGTTTTATTCTGTGCAACTCCTGCTTGGCAGGTACATCAGCTCTGAAAGGTGGTGCCTTAGGCAAGGGGGGTCCTTCTGCAGGATGGGAATAAAAGGTGGTTTCAGGGGAACTTGTAACAACGGTGCTGTTACTTTTCCTCCCTGTGTTGTTAGAAAGCATGTTGCTACAGCAGTTGAGAAAAATCAGGGGCATTACACCCTTCACTCTTGCAGGATTTGTATGGAGAGATGTACAACTAACCTGCCTGAGGCCACAGAGCAAGATAAGAACAGACCTTGGGGAAAAAGAAAAAGAGAGGGTTTTATCATTTTTTACTCCCAACCAATCACACAGAGCATTTCATCACTTCACCTTCTTCTCCCCACCACCCTGAATCTCCCCTTCCCCACATCAGCTGCCAGCAGAGCCCAGTATAAAGGCAGAGCCTGGTTTGGACTCTGATCTGTCACGTATCTCCTGTTTAGTGTTGGAAATCACTGCTTTAAACTGCAACTTGAGCCTTCTCTGGGGACACACTCTCTGAGTCACCTCCAGCAGCAGATGACTTACAGACAGCCCTTCAAAGCTGTCACAGCTCTCTGCTATGATCTTGATCTAACTGGTACCTTACTCAGGATAAAAGCATGTTATCCCCTTGCTTGTTTGTAATGCATAATTGGGCCCAAGCTGTAAAGAGCCAGCCTGACCTTTAACAGCTCATTGTGCTGTGGAGAATAGTTGGATTTGCAGTTTAAGACTATTTGTTCTTAATGATGGTTTCACTCTTATGAGATAAAGTACAACCTGAAAAGAGAAAATAAAGAGAAAGCTGCTGTGTTTTGTTCTGGAGAGCAGCTGTGGGAGACACATCTGCCACACTTGTTTTGTGAAGGTACTGGACTTATCCCACACATGGGATAAACACTGAGATGGAAGCAATTTACTGCCCTAACTTCCTTCCACAGCTTATGGCTCTAGTAGGCAGCACACCTGGATCACACGGGAAGCTGTTGGATCACACAGAAAGCTGCTGGATCACATGGGATGCTGTTGGATCACATAGGATACTGCTCCAGAACCTGGCTTTTATAGCCTGAAGTTTTGATTAAAAGAACCCTGCAACTGATTGGAGTAATTTGGTAATGCTGAGCAGTACAGGGTCATGACTGCACACTATATATGGTATATATGCATATATATACACCCCTGGGAAAGGCATGAGGCAGGAACAGCTTCTTCACTCACACATATCCTGTGTCTCACCTTCTCACCTTTTCCCAGATACTTCTGGAGCAGAGATCCCAGCGCTGAGCAGGTAGCAATAACTGGATGCTCCCACAATCTGCACTGGTTTGGGAAGTATTGCTTTGGGCAATAACCACCCTGTTGTGGGTACTTGTTTACTCCAGGTAAGCCAAAGACTTTGGACTCTGATAGACACACTCCACACCTGGACAGGATTATGGGGAGCAGTCAAAAAGATGAGCTATGGTGGAAAATAAACTGTACAGCATAAAAAGAGAGTGAATAGATACAACCCAGCCCAGGTGGTGGGAAAAGGACCTGCACATAAAAATTAAACCAGTGCAATGTCACTTTGCACAAACAGCTGAAATGGAAAGAAATTTATTAGTTTGTTTAATGGCTCTTAAAATCAGGCAGGCCATGATCATGTTTCCATCACTTAATTTCAAAACCTAAGAGTTTTCCAAACAACAGAGGACAAAACACTGGTTTCTTGTTACACGGTGGGTGTAAATATTTTACACTGCCAAGAAACACAGCTGCCCTGCTGAAAAAGTCTTCCTTCACTAGTAACTGCAAATCTGAGATTGTTCTAAAGGGTTCTCTCCCACTGTTTGGAGGAAGAGAAAGAGTCTACATGAGTAAAGGAGTTGAGCAAGGGTGAAAATGAGCTCAGGAATGTTACCAAGATTTTCCCATCTCCCACTCAAACCCTGTTTTTGTTTGCCAGACATGGTGCTCTAAAATGGTTTGATTTTTTGGACTCTATTTCCACCCTATTGTCTTTGCTGCAATTAACAGTTCCAGGGTTTTGGGTTGATAGACCAAGCAGTCTGAGCACAAGGACACAGCTGTGATAGCACACTGTGAGCTGATCTGTGTTCATGTCCAGCTCAAAAAAACTGGGCCACAGTGCTACTGTGTGTACTGTTGCCCACATTACAATTGAAATAGCTGAAATGCAGGCTGTTCTCTGAGGAAATGAGACCTTCTGTTTCCATCCACAGCAAAAGGATCCTCTGCTTTCCATCCTGCAGTACTATATATGGAAACAGTTCCAGTTATGCATCATCAGACTCTATGGAAAACTTCCTTATTAGAACAAATACTCTGAGCAAATTCTAAAAATCCTCCATGGAAAGCAGCCTTTAAAAAAAAAAACAAAAACACAACCAGAAAAACAAAGCCAACAAAAACTCAATCCTAGAAAATAAAACTGAACCAACCAACCAACCAAACAAAAAAAACCCCAAACCCAAGGACTGTTGATGTTCAGTGAGAGACAGAATTCTAACATTTGACTCCTTTATTCAGTTACAGACTTGCTCTACTCCTCTGCAGTTTTCACTAAACACAGATTGCAAGCCTTTACAAACAATACAGAGGGTTAGGTAATGCAGTGAGTAATCTGGCCTGTTTAATTCAAACTAGGCCTGGGCTAAGCAGAAAATAAACAGAAGTGGTTGTGTAGAGTTTCTGAGGATCACAGGTTGCATATTTTATGGAGAAGGCTCCCTTGACAAGGATTATTTACCTTGTTAAATTAGTTTTAGTTTATATGAAGATTATAGCAGATGGTTCCTTAAAGAGAAAGATCTCCTAACACCAACCTGGGCCATAGGTCTTGTTATGAAATGATTTTTAAGAACTGTATATCAAACTATATCAAACCTGTGTTAAAATGGCCAACATAAACATCCCCAAATGTCATCCAGTTATCATGGGATGCACCAGGAACTCTCTCTCTGTTTTGACAGGTACAGAGCAGCACATGAAGGCCTTATAGCTCCCCCCATAGAACCTGCAGGGGTGGGGAGGACTTCAGCTGTGCAGCCCAGATTCTCTGTGCCAAGTCAATCCCCCTCAGTCAGAAGTAGGTGGATATTCTTCCAGTTTGATGCACCACCACATTTCTCAGTGGCATGAACAATGACAATTGCATGCACAGCAGGAGCAGCAATACAAACAGCTGTACTGCTTGTGCTGTATGTTGTGAACATCTGACCCAAAGGAGATCCTCTCATATTTCAGATGCCCAGCACTTCCTACATCCAGTAAGCTGACTTGGAAAAGACATTGGAATCAGCTTTTTCGCTATGTAAATATCTTGTAAGAACAAAGTCAGTCCCAGTTCCTCATTTTTGATTGTTAAACTATATATGTACCTAGGCTAGCTGGTAATTTGCAGTGTTTTTTATGAAGGAAATCTGCATAAGAAAAGCAAAATGTCTTCCTCCTAATTCTCCCAAAGTCAAAGAAAAAAGGTATCTCTTCTCCTCACTCCAGACAGCTTGTTTTTAACTTCTTGTTTTGTGGAGTCCAGAAGTCAGCATGGTCAACATCTCATTAATGCTCCAAGCCTAAACCCTCTAATATTTTTACACATTAATTATCCCACCTTCTGGCTATTTGATCCAGCTGTGTAATAATTCCACCTCCTCTTCCCATGTAACAGCCCTAATCACAGAATCATAGAGGATGGAAAGGATCCCTGGATCCAACCCTCACTCAAAATGCCACAGTATTTCAAGGAAGACAAAGCCAGGGCAGTCTAGGAGAGCTTTGTTTTCATATTCCCCCCTCACTATGGGTGGTGCACTTCTTCCAGTCACCAGGATCTAGTCCACAGCCCAGAGCAATGTTTATGATCTATGTGCACACAAGACATGCTACAATTTAGTTTAGTAAAGTCAGGCATTGCAGTTTTGCTGTAGATGTAGCAGCTGCATCTTGGCAACAACACATTTCCTCTCAGCTAATAGGCTATGACAGGAGGCTTTTATCCAATCTGTAAATACATTTTCTAAGATGCTACATATTATAATCTCTACCCATAATCAAAGACTCATAGAAAGGTTTGGAGGGGACCATAAAGGTAATTTAATTCCAACCCCCAATAATCAGATGCATCTCTTCACTGCACTGTTTCTTTCTCCTTGTATAGATGGGAATTGGTTACTAGCAGGCAGAGGGTTTTCTAAAAGGAAGTACAAAGCCTTGCAAAACCCAGAACTTCCTTTGTGACTGCCTAAGAACGCAGTTCTGTGAGAGTCAGACCATTTCTTTTCCCCAAATATGGCAATGCCACAGAACCCCAAAGGCAAATCAGGTAAGTAGCTGCAAAGGTAGAGCTGTCCCAGCAGCCAATTACAGGCAGAGCTGAACAACACGGATATAAAAGGACATGAGGGGGAAGGTTTGGACTATACCTTTTAAAGTCAAAAGAATTCCATGCTGAGGTCACATTAGAAGATGATCAGTGGGCTGGGCTTGCAACTAGTTTCATCAAATGTCAATATTTTTGCAGGATTTCACATACTGTGACTGCAGATGGCTTGTAAAAATACATCATCTACATCAAAACAGGAAACACGGAGCCTAAATGGCCTTAAAAAGAGGTGCAATGACTTCTGTGTTCACTGGACCCTAAAACACACACAAAGGTCTTTTATAATTTAACTCCCCTGTTTTCAAGAGGTCATTTGACCTCTTTTGCAAGGGCCAGAGTTCTGCAATATAATGTAACTGAAATGCTGAGTAATAACTGGAAGTTAAAAGTACCAAATGTGTTTCCTCCATGTGATTTACACTAGTCCTTATCTAAACTACAGCCTGCAAGAGAGTGTTGGAACCTAATGGCTTATTTTGAAGTATAGTCCCAACCTCCCCTTCCCAAAAGGTGAATATGTTCCCAAAATACCAAGCTGAAAAATGCCACTGATGTGGTCTAACCATTTTTTGGAGTTCTCTGGTGTCTGTGGCTGAGAGGACTGGTGTTCTGCTCAATGTGTGTGTGAATGTAGCTAATTATAAACTCTTGGGAACAGAAATCCTCTGTCTCTCTGTCTGCACAGTCTTTGGCACAGCAGGGTCCCTTTCTCAGCAGGCCTTCAATAAGAACACAGTGCAAAGGTGAATCAGAATGATTCTCTGCATCACTGACAGAGAGGGTGACAACACACATCTGCAAAACTGAGGAGCAGCAAAATTTCTCTCTTTTAACTCAAGATAGGAGAAAAATTAATTTTAAAGGAACTAAAAGATAATCTGAATAAAACAGAAGTGCTTGATATAAAGACACAGCTGCTCAGCTCATAATTTACATTCCATTGTTACCTTGCAATAATTTCCTTTAACTGAAGGAGATTTACTTGAAATGAGAGACTTTACTGATATGAGAATTATTTGAAACTAAGGCCATTTAGATTTTCTGTAGTCTTGGCAAAGTAATAAAACCAAACATCTTCCTTTTATGCAAGTCAAAGGTATACAGTCTTTTAAATAAAACAGTTTGGGGTTTTGTGGGTTTGGTTTTTTTCCCTCTGCAAACAAACACAAGTCTATCAGCAATTCACAAAATTAGCCACAATTGTTTTTAGAACCCTCTTGCGTTTTCTTCCTCTTTTTTATACACCAATATATTCCTGAATGTCCTTAAAAGGCATCTTAGTGTATTCTCTCTTTCTTACTGGCAGAAACAAAGCTGGGGACACTTGACTCGCTCTGCTGAGTATCTGAGAATATACATGAGGAAGTGACCACTCATTTCAGGAGTGCTGTGAACTGTTGCCCTTGTGCACCAGGTTTTAACTTGATTTCATACACTCTTGGTGCAAAAAGGCGATGAGAGGGTGTCAATTTGTGACCTGGAAATTCCCTCGCAGCAGGAGCATGATCTGGCTGATTTAGTGTGAGTACCTTGTGGCCTTAAGAGTTAGTTACCCTGCAGTTTACAGCCTACTGTCACAGGCAGTGACAAAACACCAGCCAGTAGCAGCAGGAAGCTCGGTTTAGATTGACAGACAAGGCAAATAAACCCACAGTTCACAGGGACTTGAACAAAAGAGGCTAAAGCAGAACCTATCTTTGCAAAACTGGCTGCTTGGAGCTAAGGCAGGCCAGGTACACTCTAGCAGCTTGTGACTGCTTCTGTGCTCAGTAGTTGGAGAAAAAGGTCATTAAATCATCATATGTTTGTGAAGGTGATACTGGTCAGTCAGTCTCAGGGCAAGGTAAGTTAGACCAGAATCTCTAATCTTGTATTTCCAGACTGAAAGAGATCCTCCAGACACAGCTACAATATGAAACACAACCCTTCTAAATTAAAAATCACACAATTCTATGTGAAACACTATGTTCACAGAAATACTATCCTTTAAAAATAAATTAAAGAAAAAAAAATGTTAACCTGAATGGGAAAACTTTGTTTTTCTTGTAATGTATGTTTCATTTTTCTTCTTTGGTATCAAGTGGAAATTCATTAAAACTGATAGAGATCATTCAACAGACTTTTCCCAGGACCTGGTTTTGTGGCCCAGGGAGGGACTTTCACCGAGAACCGAGTTTGGTCCTCATGGTCATATATTATGTTTGCAGAGTGAACGGGAAAGGGATGAAACAAATATCTTATTTAAGCTCTTAGTTCTATACAAATGCTGTCTGTAAAGGTGAGAATCTAAACACACTTTCAGCAGTGTCGAAGCCCTCAGTGCAGGCTCCACAGAGAACTTTCTAAACATGCGATGCCATCGTGTGGGCAATTAAGCCTCCAGCAGTTTCCAGATGAACTTCGCCGAATTTCATAGAATCCTAGAATGGTTTGGGTAGGAAGGGACCTTAACATCATTTCGTCCCTGCTATGGGCAGGGACACCTTCCACTAGCCCAGACTGTGCTCACATTACATGAACATCCCATTAATTCCCTCACTTTTACTTGCCATGTCCTCACCCTGCTGATACAAGCCGGGTAACTCCTGTGCCTCTAGTGGTGACTGTAACAAATCGAAATCTGTCTCCACTCGTTCAAACATAGTCACCTTGGAATTCTGGTCAGTGTGTTTCTAACTCTCATCTGGCAGCAAGAAGAATATTCTACATGTTTTTTATGAAGTTTTGCAACCATGAAGATTAAAAAACAAAATCAAACCCAAATAAAACGGGTATTTTTAGAACTTATCTTTATAAATATTTTTACTCATTCTTGCAAAAGAATAAAACAAGGGAGCTCTGCCATGGCTAGTACAGATAGAATTACAGAATGATTTTGGTTGGGAGGGACCTTAAAGATCATCTTGTTCAAACCCCCTGCCATGGGCAGGGCCATCCTCCACTAGACCAGGTTGCTCCAAGCCCCGTCCCACCTGGCCTTGAAAACTTCCAGGGATGGGGCATTAATAACTTCTATGGACAACACTTTTTTTTTTTTTTAAATTATTTTTCCTTCTTTTGCACATATAAAGGAACATAGAAGATTTCTATTGAAAGCACACTGATCAGACTATAATTAAAAGTTATATTCCAAAGCTGATAACCTGTTCCATTTGGTTGCAGGAACTCACACAGCACCAGTTTTGTGGGAATCTGCAGGTCTTCCCCGGGGCTGGAAGGAGGAGGAGTCTTCACAGTGAGCTTGGGCTGCGAGGAAACCAACTGGAGTCAGACAAAGCACAGTCGATTGAGGTGTCACTGCTATGAAGGCAAAGGCCTTGGTATGTTACAGGAGCCAAATCCTGTGGCTAAAAGTACAAGGAGAATGCTGCTGAGTAATGTGAGATAGAAAATTGTTAACCTGAAAAAAAAGTGAATTCTGGGACTAGTTTTGTGACCACTGAAGTTTTAATTTTTCTCACAGGTATTCACATCTGACTGAAGTGCAGGGCTGATCTCTAAGCACAATGCCTGTGACCTTGCATTAGTCCTTCAGCCCTTGTACAGGCTTTTTACCCCTCAGCCTCAAACCGGGCTGATTTTGCCAGTCAGGAGATAGAAGTTTAACCTATTCATTGAGAAATTGTTGTGTTTTCCCTCCACTCCCCATTGCCATTGAAATCCACCAGCCCCTGACTGTTTACCCTGAAAATGAAAGAGCGTGTGTGTTTGTTTGTGTGTGTGTGTTTGTGTGTGTGTGTTTGTGTGTGTGTGTTTGTGTTTGTGTGTGTTTGTTTGTGTGTGTTTGTTTGTGTGTATATTACACAGCCTTGTCCTTCCCAAAAGCCAAGAGCTGTTTCCAGCACAGATCAGGGCTGGCAGCACCTTCTGCCACAGATCTTCCGGGCATAATTTTTGGGATGGTTTTTAAAATGCCTCAACACAGGTCATCCCGGCATCTCAGCTCTGACAGGGGCTGCTGGAGGTGGTCGCTCTGCCCCGGTTACAGCTCTGAATTTTTACTTCTATTTTTTGAAAAATGTTTTAGGGCCAGGGCAGCTCAGGGAGAAGGGTCTCCTCAGGGAGAAGGGTCTCCTAAGGGAGCAGAGTTCCCTCAAAAAGGAGGGTCTCTGCAGGGTAAGGGGTCCCCTCAAGGACAAGAAACGCCTCAGGGAGGAGGGTCCCCTCAGAGAGAAGGGTCACTCCAAAAAGGAGGATCCCCTCAGGGTAAAGGGTCCCCTCAGGAGGAGGATTCCCTCAGGGAGAAGGGTCTTTCAGGGAGGAGGGTTCCCTCAAAAAGGAGGGTCCTCTCGAGGAGAAGGGTCCTCTCAGCGAAAAGGGTCTCTTTAGGAGAAAAGGTCCCCCCAGGGACAAGAAGAAACACCTCAGGAAGGAGGGTTCCTTCAGGGAGAAGGGTCTCCTCAGAGAGGATTGGTCCCCTCATGGAGAAGGGTCTCCTCGGGGAGAAAGGCTGTCTCAGGAAAGAGGGTTCTGTCAGGGAGACTTCCCTCAAAGAAGGGAGTTCCCTCAGGGAGGAGGGTCCCCTGAAGGCGAAGGATGTCCTCAGGGAGAAGGGGCCGCCGCGGTCTCGCCGGTCTCCGGAGCTGTCAGGCCGCCTCCTCACCGCCCTGCACAGCGGGCTGCGGCACCGCCCGCCTCTCCCCTCGGGATCGGGGTGCCGAAAACCCCGCTGTCCCGGTCCCTCCCTCCCCTGCCTTCCTCCATCCTTCCCTCCGTCCCTCCCTCCCCGCCGCCTGAGGGGCGGCTCCATCGGCCGCGCTCCGCCCCGGCCGGGCGGGCTGAGGCGCCGGATGGCGCCGGGCTCTGTGTGACGGTCCCGGGGGCGGAGAGGGGCCGGGGAGCCCTGCCGGTAAGAGGGGAGGTCTGTCAGGGTGGGGGGCTCGCCTCAGGGCTGCCTTGTCACCGGGATGGGGTCGGACACACACACACAGACATACACACACATATACACACACATATACACATGCCAGGGCTGCCCCGCCGGGCGGGGAGGGATGGGCTGAGCACAACGGGAAATGAACCTTTAAAGGACCCTCTTTCTCCAGCGGTTCGCTGCTTTAAATTAATCGTGTCGTCACGGTCACGGTGGTTTCCATTCACTCTTCGGGGTTTACCCCACGATCGAAATTTTCCTCGCAGGCAAACAGGGCTTTAGGCCTGAAGGTGAGGCTGCCCGACCCGGCCTCTTGTGTGCGGTAAACAACGCAGCAGTTAGCAATAAAAATACTGCATTAGGCTCAACCCTGTGTCCTTCTGGGGAGGCTGAAGGGCTGTGTGATGGCCTTGTCTGCAAAAAGAGATTCCCGTGGAACTGGGAATCAAAAACTGGAAAAGAGGTGTCAGGAAGGACATGGAATTTACAGAAAGAAAACTACAAAAGGATGTTTCATTCCACGTCTTACCTTCTTTATATTGTCACCCCAGACATGTATCTACCCCAGACAGATGGGAAGGCCATTGGCAGTGGTGACTGTCTCTGTGGTCATGGTGGATTTTGGGATTTCAGGCCCTGCTGTGGCACTGTTAGGTCTGTGCTGTGCTGCTCTGGGGAGAAAGACAAGAGCACATGGCCCAGACAACACTAAAAATTAAATCTCCATAGTGCAGGTGAATCCTGGGACAGTGAGAGAAATCGGAGTTGTACCATTAAATGTGTAAAACAAGCCAGCAAGGAAACCCCAAACCAGCCCTCCCCTGCCAACCTTAATTCTGTGGGTACCAACTCTCACTGATTTATTGACTTGACATGAATCTGTGTGTTTTTAATGGGTCTTGCGTTGTTCCTAAATGTTTTTGTTACTTTGTTTCAAAATATTTTTGTATTGCGTCCTTAGAAAAAAAACATTCTCATCATTTTCAGAGGCTTTTCCCTGACAGTGTTTTAGTGCCACATCATATTGGCAGACATAGCTTCAGTCCATTAATGCATCAGAATGATGTAGCATAATCTGTCGTAAATAATCCATAATCAGGCTTTTTCCTTCATGTTAGGGCTGTATTGCAGCTGTTAGACTCATGGTCACTTTGTATAAGCTAATTTAACCATTAGATCATATTGGTTTTTCCATTTGATAGAGACTTGAATGATGTTTTCATTGGTGGACAGGGGGTTTTTAGCAAAGAGCTGTCAGATTGTCAATTTTTAAAGCACAGTTACAGATGTTCTCCAAATTCATTAAGTCTCAGTGAATACAGAGACTAAACACTAGTTTTAATAATTTCCTGGAAGGGTAGTAGTTTGCTTTTCTTGTTAAAGTTGCACTGGTATGTTAGTCAGTTTGATATGTCTTCCACGGCCCTTGTGATACCTTTCTGTGTTTAATTTTTTTTTTTTTTTTTTAATTCTTTTTCCTTTGCTTCAGGTTGAAAAGATGGGAAATGCAGAAAGCAATGCCTATCACAATCACCTTTCCAGATTTCTTCCTGAGGAGCAGATTGACATTGATGGAGTATTTGATACCTTATCAGGATCAAGTGGCTCAGCTGGAGGAAAAAATGCCAAAGCTACAAAGAAAACGATGACTCTGGCAGCACTACAGGCAAGACAATCTATTATTCATGATATAGCTGAGATGTAGTGAATCAATCAGAATTCCAGAAAGAAATTAAAGATGTGGCAGTAGTTACTTTTAAAGGATTGCTCATCTCAATTGAATGTTTTGGGTGGGATGGATTTTAACTTTCTCTTACAGTTTAACATGAGTAGTGAATTTCAGGCCTTTATTTACCTCTTAAATTGCACTGTTGGGTCCATTTGCAGCTTTCCTGATTCCAAAGTAAATTGGGATGTATGGAAATGTTTTTACAGCAACCTGAAAAATGGGAATAATATTTTCCCCCCTGGAATCTATAGTGTGGGATTATTTACAGATTTTCTGGAGAAGCTGTCACAAAGTCAGTTTGTATTTGGTTATATCTGTCTCCCTCAATGCATCACCACCTCTAATCTCTTCACTTGCACTAAAAGGAGAGAATTCAATTTTGCTTGATTAAGCTGTGGTTCCCTGTTTTAGCTAATTAACATGCAATATGCCTCTGATTAACTTTGAATTAATTTTCTAATCAAGAAAAGAGAAAAATGATTTGCTGAAACGGTTGATATCTTCAGTTAGGCAGGAGCTAAGTGGCCAAATGAACGTAGTGGTAAAGTGCATTTTTATGTATGTTACACAGCTAATGGGATCAAATTAAAACTCATTGGAAGCAGCAGGTTATTTTAAGGTATTTAGCAGTTCCTCTGCATACAGACCAGCTTTAGCCTTCTGCAGCCTGGCTGTTCATGAGCTGCCACTAGTTTGGAAACAGTGTTGCTGCTTTATCCATGAACCTGTCCTTGGTGTCTCTTACCAGTTTGGGACCTGGAAGAAGTTTTTTCTAGCTTTACCTCTAGATCAGTGTGATGGTTGATGAACATTTGTCTTTTCCCTTCCTGCCTTTTTGTTTGCCAACTTACATTCAAATCTTGGAAGGCTGCCTGTAGGTGCCCAGTTCCTTGGTGCAGAGACAATTCCTGTGGCATTCCTGCCTCATAGGTGACTCTGCTCATGTCTGGGCTAGACTGAGATGTGGCAGGTTTGTTCTAGCAACAGTCTGGTGACACTGATGAGTCCCCAGGTATTACCTCATGGACTCTGCTTAGGCTCCTGCTTTGCTAGAAGGAAACTATATGGCTTCTGGGCCAGAGCAGGCTGCACTGCACAGCTTGGGAAGCAGGCAGAGCAGGAATCTCTACATCCTTTCTTGAAGCCGTTTAAGACAAGGATTCTAAACTGTCAGAAGTGTGAGTCAGTTAGATGTTTATTAAAGGTTCCTTTTTTACAGATCTCCTTTCTCTGCACCCCAGGTCTACTCTTTGGAAGAGCTAAAAGCAAATCGAGTGGTGGGCAGGATAAGGTAGGGAGTGGGTAGGTGATTCAGCAGTGTGAAGTAAGAAGCCCTTGAGTATAAGGTTTTAGTTGTGTTCCCTGCTGCTTCTCCCACTTCAGGCTCATGTAGCACTTTCAGAAAGCCTCTCAAAGACAGCTGTACCCCCTGTGACCATCCCTCCCTCAATATGGAGCACTCTGATGTGAAGGACTGGGGCTGCTATTTCTGCTCCTGCTGAAATCAATGGGAATTCTACCACTGACGTCAGTGAAAGTAGGGATATTGGATCTCTCTATGCCCAGCAACAGCCATTAGCATCAAATAGGAACAGCCCAGGTGGCTTCCAGAGGAGTGGTATTGAGCCAGCAAATCAGTAAATGGAGCTGGAATAGTGTTTTTGGCAGGTGCAGCTCCATTGATTTCAGCATAGTCCCCACTGGGCTACACTCCTGTACAGAGCAGTCAAGGCAGGTCCTCAACATGCTGTGCACAGTGAGGACACTCTGGAATCATGTCCTAGTGTGTGCATGTATTTGAGATGATTTATTTTTAAACCATGTAATTATCTTGAGCACTGTGAAAGCTGAATCCAGAGTCAGATCTTCCCCACAGAGCTGTGATGTGTGACGATGTGTATCAGTTAGATTTCAGTTCAAAGGGCCAGGCATGCCATTCAGATGAATAACTCCTGATCTCACCTGTCTTAACATCAGGGATGCCTTACAAAAATCAAGTGATCCCAACTTTGTTCCATGTTTCAATTAGTTGATATGCAGAGGGAAATTCCTCAGGATTGTTTCTGCACATGCACATAGAGTTAAACACATTGTCTTGAGGCCAAAACTGAGATATGGCAAACACTTCACCTTCTCTTTGTTTTTAAATATCTGTGAACTCCACTGTCAAAAGCAGACATGAAACACGATTTTGAATATTTGACTGGCAAAGTTGTAAACCTTTGCAACAGAGTTATCATGTAGAAACACTTTGCTAATATCCTGTTAAGACTTTACAGTGTTGTTTTTCTGAAGTCCAGTATCAGTATCAACCTGAATCAGTAAATAATCACTATAAAAATAAAGATTTTTTTATTTTTTCTCTTGGAAAACCAGTCCTTTGAGGAAAGTTTGTTGCTCATAGTAGATGCTACATCTCAGCACAGATTACCTGGAATACATTAGTTACTCTTCACTTATAAAATGTGCTCTCTGCTGTTTCTCTCAGGCACATACACGGGAGGCACTGCCAGAGCAAATGACTGTTCGGTTGTACAATGGGATGAAAAGCATTGACCTGCCTGGGAAATCATCTGGGCTGAGTGAACAGATTGCTAAGGAGCAGTTTGTAATTTTTATGTCAGACCTCTTAAAAGGGAATGCAGATGAGAAGATTGCCATAATAATGAGAATGATCTCCAAGACAGAAGGGCCCGTGAAGGGCAAACAAATCCAAGAGGTAAACGGGGCAGTTAAAATGTGTGTTGGGGGGACAGTAAGAGAGCAGGGCTGTATTTAAGAGCCAGCAAGGGTTGTGATGTGACTGATGCTTCTGGAAATTGAGCAAAGTACTTGTTAGAGCTTTAGTTGCAGGATAATTGTGGGAATCAAATATAGCTTACAAGGTGAAAGAGTGGGATCTCGCAGAACAGTAATTCACCAGCAGCTCCCACCACTGCAAAACTTGGTCCTCTATTCCTTCTTTCATGCCATATTTTATGGAGTTGCTTTATGGAGTAATATGTACAAAATATTGAAGAAGGCTTCTTTTCAAGACCTATGACACTGAAATAGCATTTCTGTAGCTCCTGACTTGTCATGGCAAGAGAAGTTTCTGCCTTGGGATTACAGCATCAATACTGCTTGACTTTATTTTCAGGCAGCCCTTTGAAGCTCTTGGCCATTTCCTCTGAGAAATACCAAAATGGTGATTTTTTGATCTTTTCAGTTCACAGAGGATCTGATCATGTCTCTAGTCCATGTACTGAGCTACAGGAAGGAACTGAAAGGTTGGACTTTGGAGAATACTCGGGATTCTGCCAGTGGAGTAAAGGCTTTGGCTTCTCAGCTGCTCTCAGAGTTGAAGCTTGCAGGTAAGCACCCTTGGTGTAGCAGATCTTAGAGCTCCTGTAATCACTCATCTCATGGCATGGGAATTCTATTTATTTTACCTTACCAACTTTCTCCCCTAAATTCAGGAGAGCTTTGGGTTGAAGTCCCAAATTAGGTGGACACGCAAAACTATTTGTGGTGGGACATGTCTATTTTACAAAACCTGGCTTGCAGATGATGGGCATTTAGATGCATGGGCATCTAAGTATTACTTATTTGAATATATTTATCATGTATTTATGACCACATGTCCTTTTACAAAGCATAGGTCTGTCTTTCCACTGTTGTAATAACAGATTTTGCTGTCTTGCAAAGAACATCCCCTAAGTTGTAGCCAGGAGCCCATGTTTATAAATTACAACAGCCCAGCCAATGAATGTCACAGGTAGGTCTCAGTTCTGTGGTTGCATTTGCTTATTGTAGTTGACACTTTACTGTCATGGCTCCTTTCATGTGTGGTTTGCTGTCCATTAAAATAATGAAATATTGTGTTTACACTTAAAAATCCGCTGATTATTTTCCAGACTGGGAAACTTATTCCTGTTTCTATATGTCTTATTATTTAGATGGGACAAAACCTGTGGGTCCTCAGCTGCTGGAGACAAGTTTTGATCTGAGTGTCATTGAGGACTGGGTGTACAGAGTTCCTCAGGTCTCAGTTTTCCTCAGTGTGGTGATCAGGCAGAGCCTCCACGTTCTCCATTCTCTCCCAGACCAAACCAACGACATCCTCAACCTGGTTCCCCGCTGCAAAGGCATGAAAGGAAGAGGACTTGTCAGCCTCTTTGACATCCCATCCATCATATACATCAACTCCCACCTGCCTGCAGAGCTACAGCACAAGTGGCGGCTTTTGTTTTCTTCCAGGCTCCACGGGGAAAGCTTTTCACAGTTGTGTGGGCACATAGTGAACAAAGGGCCTTGCATAGTGATCCTGAAGGACTTGGATGGTTTTCTCTTTGGTGGGTTTGCCTCTCACTCCTGGGAGGTGAAGCCACAGTTTCAAGGTAAAACTCATTTTTTTGGTATCCTATGCCTCTGGTAAACATTCCCTGTTCTGTGCAGGTACAGGAATGGATACTTAATATCCACTTCATGGGTACTGTCACTTTACTTTCATGACATACATTGTTTCTTACACTTCCCAAGTGTATTTTTCTGTGGCAAAAATAACATTAATTTTCAAAAAAAGCACAACACATGCGGAGTTATTCTTAGCATGGTAGTCAGGCATGTTACAGATTAATATTTATAATTTGCTGTTTGATAAGACCTTTAAGATTGCAGGACTTATTGATCTTGGAGCAAGTTTTCAGGGAAATTTATCAAGCCCTGTAGCTGCATAGGTTGAAAAGTAAATGAAAATTAAGGAAGTACAGCATAGATTATTAGAGATTAAATAATTTGTCCACAAGATGGCAGTGTTCCATCAGGAACACCTGAGCCAGGTTGAGCCTCCTGTTGTCAGTTGTGCACTGTCTGTCTTTGTTTTCCTTCTAAAATCCAGCAGCCAAAGGGTTCTTTGGACAAGCTAAACTTTTTGTTCTCTTGAAACCTCAGTGGAGAAGAGAAGGTTTTTTTCATAACTCTTTGGAAAGAACTTTTGTGATGGATTTTTGAAAAAACAATTATGGGCTCTGGATAATCTGTCCTGCTGGGAATCCTCGCTTTGGCTACATCAGAAACTCACTTCCTATACTTAATTAGTATTTGATAATTACCACTTCAGTCAGTTAATAGAGTGTTATGTTATGTTGATTACACAATTTCCTTGTGTTTTTTTCCTGATAGAATAGCATGTACAGTGTATTAGTCAAGCACAGCACAGGTCCCTCTGAGTACCAAACTGGACATAATGAAAGTTGTGCTCTAAATCATTGACTCTGAACTGATCTATGTATCAATGTAGTCAGAACTAAGGGTGTCTGCACTCCCATCAGTTTGTGCAGATCTGGCAGCTGGCCAGTTTTAGATGACAGAATGCAGCCTGTGGTAGGTGTGCCCTCATACAGTGACATAATGTCCTGGTCATGCCTCTGACTCTGCCCTTGATCACAGCTTGTAATTGCATCAATGTCTGTGACTCTGCACAGAGTTACCTGAGAGTAAACAACAAGTCTAGATCTTGCTGAGAGATAGCTCCTGGCTTTCTGAGATGGCAGCTGCTGTCTTTGAGCTATTCAGCTTCACTTCTTCCTTTAATTTTTCTATCCTATTTGTAGACAAATTATTGCATGACCAGTTGTCTGACTTCAGGTGCTTTTCCATTTACAGGTGACAACAGATGCTTTCTGTTTTCTGTTTTCCCCTCTCTTGCTGTGTACACATACACAGGGTACAATGACCACTTCATGTATTTGAACAATGGCCAACAGACTATGCCAAATGGACTTGTAAGTATTCAGAAATGACAATTTGCAGATTGGATTTGTGGCTTGTGTTTGGAAGACTTTTTTTGCTTTTTTTTTTTCTGTTTCTGAGAGCAGATTTATTTCACTTTTTATTCTCTGAGGATGTTTGCATCCCTTGTGGCCCACTTTTAGTTGGAGATTTTTTCTTTTTTTTTGTTAAAGCATCAGTGTAAAGTGTGAGCTATGAATGATGATGGAGAACTGCTTACAGCACTGATAGAGCCCCTCCTTTTCTTTACAGTTAATATGTATATTGAGTACTGAATCAACTAAGATGGAATTTATTTGTGTGTGACCCAAGCAGGTGGGCTTTATGTAGGTAAAATTTCTGGAGGTTCTGGGAAGAAACCTTTTTGCCAAGTTTGGTTACCACAGAAGTCCTTCTAGGTGTCCTCCCTGGAAGAATTGGCTGCACATATCCACACCACTGGAGCAGCACAAAATAGCTGATCTGTGTAACTGAGGATCCTTCCCCTGGCTGCTCTCACTGCCACACTAATTGCTTTTTAAATGATGGAAGAGAAAGCCCAAAAGAATTAGAGTGCAAACACTGCAAGTAGCTGCTGCTGCTGCTGTGTCATTACAGTGGCAGAAGCTTCTCTTACTCAAATTCACAAATGAGCTCTCCAGCTGCAGAGGAGTTTCCACAGAGTTACCACACACCACGTGTTTTGAAGCTGCTTTGCAGTTTTGCAGCATTATGTGCCCATAACTTTGGGAATTGCAGCAGGGTGGAATAAATTTGCTCCAAAGAAAGTGAACAACATCAAGTTACGTTATTTGTCTCTGTAGATGCTTTTCTAAATGGAAAAGAGGCAGCAAACCAGGGCACTGCCACCCTGTTTGAAATGGGACTGTTAGTCAATAAACAAAAAACAGGAGCTAAATTTGTGGTACAACTCACAGATACTGGAATTCTATGAAGTGTAGAGGGAGGGCAGTATCACTCAAGTAAATTCTTGTCTGTCTTCAGGAATGCAAGATGTGGGTACAGAAGCCCAGGTTCACTCAGAATCCCTTTTTTTTTAACCTCCCCATAGAAGTGTGGCGCAAACACTGAGCACAGCAATTTATTCTCTAGGCTTCATGACTTTCCCAGTCTGTTCTGCCTGTGCAGCCAGTGTTTAATGTGCTGCTTTGGTTGACAGGGTATGGGTGGACAACATGGATACTTCGGGCTCTGGATAGACAGTGACTATGGGAAGGGACACAGCAAAGCCAAACCTCGATGTACCACCTACAACAGCCCCCAGCTGTCAGCCAAAGAGGATTTCACACTGGATGCCATGGAAGTCTGGGCAGTGGGAGATGTCCCTGAAAGCGTGGTAGGTGAACCTGTGAAATGGTGTCCTGGTTGGAACAGAACATGCAAAACCCACAGCTGCAGTTTTCTCATTAAACTCTCTCTCTCTGTTGTAATTAATAATATTTTCTGTAACTGGCCCTGTGGTGCCATGTATTTTGTAGCAGGCAAATAGCAAAATAGTAGTGGAATTATGGAGTTTGCCAACAAGAAAGACCTTCAGGAGCCAAGAGGTGATAGAGTCAGAAGAGCAGTATTTTATTCTGAATTTCCAAAGGCGTTTCCAATATTGAGGAATGGTCTTGAGGAGGAACATCCTTGGAGGGGTTCAGTAAAACCCAGTGTTTATAAAACAGAAAGCAAGAACTGGCAACTCTCAAGTAAAGCCCAATCTGTAGTTCAGGAACAGACCCAAAAGATTTCTTTATCAGTAGCTTTAACTTTACTGTTGTTTTACAATAAGTTTATGTGATTCAACTGATGCCAGTCTTTCTGCACTCGGCTTATTTCTGGGAATGAGTAGGAGCCCTCTTTCCACTCTCCTCTCTCCCTGTATTTTATTCTCATATTAAACTGTCTGGTCTGTACAGCTTGATGTTGGTTGGTTTTTTTTCAAATTTTTGCTTCTTTTCATACTAAATTCGTGTGCCTTGACTTCACTGGACACAGAGCTCTAAATAGAAACAGGACAAACTGTTTACAGAAAATGTCAAATTGTAATTGAATCTCTTCTTTAAAAAAACCCCTTACTTCTGCACTTCAGACTAAGGTGAGGTTAAGCAGGATGTTCTGGTTGGCTTGTAACCTGAATAAACTTGAAATAGTTCACTGTCATCTTAGGAGAAGTTTATGGCTATTTTGTGTAACTGCAGCTATAAAAATAATTTGATGTATCCCAGTGAATCTTAAATGCCTTACTTGGAAAGTGTGTCTGCTCCATTGTGCCAAGCTTGCAAACCAGATCACTTATGGACTTTTTTTGAGTGTGTCTCTTTCCTGTAGCCTGATATTGACATTTTAAATTGAGTATATTTGATTTTCTTTTGCAGACAAAAGGTAAGAAGAGTATCCTGGATGTGGATCCTGAGGCTCAGGCCCTGTTGGAAATGGCTGGAAAAAGTCGTCACAGCGAAGGTCTCCGGGAACCCATTGAAGAGGATGAGGATGATGAGAACTAAAGGAATCACAGTCAAATGAAAACCCCTTTATTTTTATTTGCTTCCAAGTGTTAATGTTACTTGGACAGCGTATTTTTTCCTCTTTTCTTTTTTTCCCCTTAAATTTACCTAATTATCTGGGACAGAGCTTAAGCTTCGTACTTATGTAATATTTAGGTCTAATACAATATTCTGCCTGAAGGGTTTTGGTTGGGAAGGACAGAAAAAATAACTGGGGACACAATCATTAGACATGTCTGAGTCCTAGCTGAATATGAATTTGCTTGCATTCCCCATAGATCATGTCTGCAAACTAAATTAAAAGCAGCAGAAGATATCGACAGTATGGTTTACTGACTTGGAGAATTGATATGTATATTTATATATATATATATATATATGTATATATAAAGACTGTCCAAGACACTGATTAAGGCTCTTATACCTCAACTGCACATATTTATTTGCATGCAATGAAATTAGTCAGTGAATTTGCAAATTGTGATGATGTCTTACATTGGTAAACAGAGAACAGTCCACATGATTCCATATGAAGGGTGCTATTAATTTGCATTGCTTCGGTTAAAGCATTAAATTTTACATTTTCTAAGTTGGTTTTTTAGCAAGTGGCTCCATATGGGCTGTGAGATGTCCAGAATATTCATATACAGCAAAAAGGTTTATAATACTACACTATAGTTCAGTGCATCTCACTTCAGCTGTTTCTGCAGAAGTTTGTCTGTTGTTTTTTAAACTTAGTAAAACAGAATCATTGGAATCATTCAGCCATATTTTTCCTAAAAATGGGCCATACCTTCAGCAGAAATTCTCCAGGGAAGGTAACTTCTTTAGTAGCCTCACTTGAGACTGGACCAAAAAGGAAGCCAGTTAATTGGGAATAGGATCTGCAGATACTATATTAAAAGAAATATCTTTAATATCTGCAGATATTAAAAGAAATAAAAATCAGGGTTATGTAAAATGTTTAAAGAAGATTGCTGTACACTTTATTTCCACATAATTTCTGCATTATGGAAAAAAATGCCTGCAGTTGGCTGGGGGTTTTTGCTCTGTTTTGTGACTGTTCTCCAGTCAGCACCAGTTTTGTCAGGTCTCTTGTACTCAGGGCTTTTTCTACTTGAATTTGTTCCCATCTGTCAGTAATTAGTTTGACCTCGCTAATTGTATGTGTAATTAACTTGTCAAAAATAACCCTAATTTTTACCAGGGAGTGTAATTTCTAACTCAGCAAATAGTGTTTGGTTATTGGTGATTGTCAGTCTTTCTCTTCCTGAGGAAAAGGACTGTACCCAATCCTCTTTGTCCTGGCATGACTTCGTCTTCTGTGCAGCTTGGAGCAAAAAATGTGCCAGAATTCTGCAATTCCTGATCACGTGGCCTTCCTTCAGATTCTTTCCCTTAGTGTTTTCTTGTGTGTGGTCTTTTTTTTCCCCCCACCTGTTGTTTTTCATAGGGAGCTAGATTTGAATATTCTGAATAATCTGCACTTGTGCCTTAATGTAGGTCCCATTCTTTTAGATTTTGTTAAACCAAGTGAACTTAGCCTTGAAAAGAGAGCACGAGGAAATCACTCCAGCCAGACATTCTAGAACTCAACTGTGCATTTTGTACACTACCTGAACTAATGACTGGGGCATATATGCTGTTTGTTCCAGTACAGAGTGTACTGTGGAAGGCCTGAACTAATGTCCTTTTATCCTGTTTTTGCTTAAATAAAAACCTGAAAGTCTCCCAAGTTTGTTAACACATAGAAAAAAATGTAAGAAGCAAAACAATTGCACTGATACTTTTGTATAATTTTCTTCTCTGTATATATTAATAAGAATGTTAAATAGTACAATGTAGGGAGTGCTGTATAGACAGCAAGTCAGTACATGAAGCTCTGTGTAGGTGTGGTGGGACCAGCTTTTGTTTGAACATTCTCAAACTCCCCCCATAAGTCTCAGAGGTCTTTTCCACTTAGGCACTGGGTACTCCAAGTGGATGGCATACAGGAATGAGGCAGCTGAATTTCTGCAGTTACACATAAAATAAACAGCTAGACTTTATTTTCCTTCCATTAGAAGGCAGAGACTTGTCTTTGAGAACTGAAACTCTCTGCAAGGGTTTTAAAAAAAACGGTGAGCAGGCTGTGTCTGGGGAGGGTGAGTTTCACAAAGCTGCTCTTTGCCATAAGTATTTCAGTGGCCAAGTTGTCTTTGATTTATAATAAGTATCAGGATAGCTGTTTCTTTTCAGACTACGAATCCAAAATGTAATCCTGTTTAAACATCGTGACAATCAGCATAGCACTGTGACCTCTGAAAGTGTAGCTTTTTGACAAGTTTGTGTCTGAGACTCTTCACTTTGAAGTGAAGGTGTTAAGCTGGGGCAAGAAGAAAACCGACACTATGGCAGTTTAGCAAACGTCTCAGTGAAGCATTATTTACTAGGACAATACTGATCCAACCAGCAGGTGGGATTGTTCAAAATTGATCTTTAAATGTAAAAGATGGGCTTGGGAGAGATTCAAATTTTTTTTTTCCCCTGAACCTAATGATTAAGCACTCTGGACTTTCTGCTCATGCACCTAAAACATCCAGAAAGCGTGTGTCAGCAGTGGGCTTAGCTGTGATCTAAACATCTCAGTCCCTTTTGTGCAGCTCTTGATCCAACTGCAAAGCTCAACATCCCTGCTCTGTATGTGACTCATTTTTATTCTCAGATGCTTGTGAAAGCAATTCCCTTCCCCATTAAATCCATGCACTGCTGTGCTTTGGATCACATCACCCTTCCAGTTTGCTCCTCTTAGTCACACAGGTACCAAAGAAGACAGCTGAGGGTTGGCACTTCAGCTCTCTACTCTGGCATCTCCCCACAGTTTCCTTGAAAGGCTTGCTGAATCAAGGCTGGCTATCTGGAAATCTAGAAACACTACAGATTGATTACAGAAAAAGGAGTGCCAATAAAGGCAGGTCTTTTCCAGTCTTCTAATTTAATGAAGAAGGACAGGTCTAAATCAAGTCTCACACAGATACTTGTCAATAACATTTAAAAATGTAGATTTTATTAATAAAAATGACTTTGATTTAAATAAATAAAATTTCAGTTTATGCACAATATATTTTTCTGTACAGGTGTGAAACTCTTATTTTGTCTGGAACTATCACAGCCTTCTTGACATATGTTATAAAAATATACCTGCTCTTGGTTTGAAACAGGAGCTGCTGCAGAGGTTTCTGTAGAACAGCGCAGGTGGGGCGTGTAGAGGAGACTGTTGGTACAGGTGCACATGGGTATCTTCAGGAAGGATGTGTGGCAGCAGAAAGAGATGCATTTGGATTATCCAGCATCACAGCTCTGTTCCAAGCATGTTTTAGAGGAGGCCTGAGTCAGGTGTGACGTCCCTTTGTGTGCCCCGGGCGGCAGCAGCGTTGTTCACACAGTTTGACGAGCTCGGACACCACGAACACTGAGGAAGCCAGTCCAGTGAGGAACAGTAGGTCTGGGGGAGGAAACAGAGTGCAGGGGAGCTCAGCTGGGCAAGAATCCCAGGGCAGGGCCTTCCTGCAGCTGGCATTTGTGCTGGTGTAACCCATGGGTGCATGGCCTTGCTGTGCCTTTGCCAGCTGGAGAATTAGGGAAACCACCGCGATGGACAAGGAAGGGATCTGTACCTGGGTCCACTCAGAGGGTGGAAACCTCTGCTTTAATAATTTGGGATAATTGACCACTGCTTATGACAACAGGCCTGATGTGGATGCAACACAGTGTGGTAGGGTGGAGTTTGTTGATTGATATGGTGAAACCTGCATTGCATTTCAGCTGGGAAACAGTCACCCTGCACTTTCTGAAGGGAGTGCACAAGGATCTGAGATAGATTTATGGACAGAAACATCAGAACTCATGGAGGATCTTGGCATGTCTCCATTTACTTGCAATTATGTGCAGTAAATCAAAATTCAAAACCTAGACTGGGATAATATCATTAAATACTACTACTATTTGTGTATGATTATGTGTAAATATAAAGGTATAGGAGCTGTTGATTGATTTCCCCTACAGGGATGTGTTGGGAGGTAACATGAAACAAACTGGAAATGGCATCTGCTTTTTAAAGTAAATTAAATTAAAGAAAAACCAGACAATTATTTATTTTGCAACTTACCTAACACTCCTAAATTCTCTGTCTGGAAGATCTTCTGTAGTGGAGGGATGTATATAACAGCCAGTTGTCCCAAAAATGATCCAAGCACGGAATACAGGAACATGCGGTTCCGAAAAAAGCCAATTTCAAGTATCAACTTTGTCTAGAGAAGTAGGAGAGGGGAAAGAGAAATGTGAATCTCTGCTGGAACATAATATCACAATGTTTCTTTACATGCAAACTCCCTTTTTGAAGCTACATAAACACTAACTTAGGCAAAACTACATAGTTGAAAGTAGTTGCAGTTGAACTGTGATGGATAATTTTATATAAATAAAAAGTTGATAAAAATCACAGTGCTTTAAATGACATTAAAAAAACCCCTTACTATGCAAACTTCTGATATTCTAATGTTTATATTTGTGATTTGAGACAAGAAATTATTGCTGACAGAGCAATCTCACCTGAGAGCGACATGTCAGGGCATTGAAGAGGTCAAAAAACACAAAACAGGTAAAAGTCATCGTTGTGGTTCGAGGAGTTATGCCACCTTTTGGATTCTGGAAGCACATTTAAAATTCAGGGCTTAGTTAAGCCTTACAAAAATATGTCAATTCAGTAGGTGAATTAAAGGTTCCCTTTAATGATCCCAGTCATATCAAAGGGTAATAAAACAAAGGAGTAGCATTAATTTCTCTCTACTGATTTTTGAGATTATGATCTTATCAACCATGTTTTACATTCTTAAAGTGATGTGGAATTGAGTAAAGGACATTCTAAATTAAATTACCTAAACTGTTAAAGTAACAGTCACTATTTACCAACAGCAATCCGTAGCACTTGGCATTTTCTACCTACATGGAAAGGTAGAAGTGGAAAGTCCCTTAAAGCATTGATACCACAGCAAGTAAGAGTTTTCCTATTGTAGTTAAGAAGCTCCAAATTAGAGGCAACACAGGAAGGCAGAAGCAGAGCTATGAGCTGATCCTGGTTTCTTAACCCTCTGCCTGCACTGATCCTTCCCCACAGGATACATCCCTGAAAGTCCTTTGCATGTCCTTGAGAAACTGCCCTTCCCTTCATTTTCCACTCTGATGAAAACAGGATCTGATTGCAGATTTTCCTCACCTCCTTCCAGAAGACAAAGAGGGTTCCACTGATGATAATGAGAGCTGACATGAAGATTTTCAGGATCAGTGATTTGCTGAGTATGGTGTCTGTGATACACCGGGGGGGCTGTTTGATGGTGTCCCTGTCAACAGGTTCAACTCCCAAGCTGCCTCCAAGAGAAGCAGAGGGATGTGTTTAGTTAATGCAGGGCATCCCAAAAAGGTACTGCTGATACACCAGGATGGAGCTGGAGGAGACAGTTCTTTGGAATACAGCAGGAGTATTCTGGCAGGGTGACATAAGGCCCCAAATTTGTCTGTGACACCAACACCAAAGGTCTCTTTTGCATATGGAGCTGCTAAAATGACACATTAGACCATCATATCATCTCATCTCCCTGTGCCAGAGGGAGAGCTAACTCTGAGTGTGTGGCCAACATCTCTTCCATATTGTGGAAGCAATAATTGTAATTGGTTGTAGTTGTAATTAGCAGTTGGATGAGGTTCTTAAGTGTTGTGATTTTTGGGACATACGCCCCTTACGCCCCTACATGTATTCCCTTTCCAGTCTATGAGCAGGTTATGTTCTCAGGATAACAGACCATTCTAGCCAAAAAATGACATAGCTAAGTGTTTCTACCATGAAACAGCAA